TATATTAGTATAAAATTGGAGACTGTACGTGCGTAATTTAAATGATGCGGCAACTCAGGGATCGGATGATAGACTATTGACGGCTCTGAGCTAACTGTTGCTGTTTCCTTGCACGATTATGTGCGTGTGAGGCACTTGCCTAATGCGTAGTCGTCAGGGAGACAAAGTTGTGACCCTTGGTAACGGGCGATTAGTTCTAATCGCCCGCTATAGCGGGCGATTAGTTAGTAATCGACCCTGTTGAAACAAAAGAAACCCGGGCAACTATGCTATTAATCCAGTTATCCTATGCAACCGTATAAAAAACGAATATTTGGCATTGCATGTCCGGTACTGTAGGCTAGCCTCAGCAACTCTTACAAAATTATGTAAAGTATACGGAAAAATGGAAACTCCGATGAACAATTACATTCTTAAATTAATATCAACGTTTCAACCAATAGTTAATCATTAATTAGGAGTCAAGATGAAACGAGCTTCAGTCTATAACTTAGGCACAAGATATACTATAAAAATTCTAAGAAATAATTACAAAAGCTATCAGTATAACTTATATATACAGTACAAAGACAGTTGTTAAATATCTTGATGTTTGTGATCAAATCAAAGGACCTGGGGCTTCGTAAAGACCATGTGGATATTTACACTTACCAGGTGGATATTTACACTTTACCTTACACGTTTACTAACCAACGTTACGCTTATTTTTGCTACACTACTGATGTGATTACCTAAAGTAATGCGTCAACTCTAACGTGCAAATATATTATGTACTATTTAAAACACGAGTAGGAGTGTTTTATCAGATATAAAACGCGAGGCGCAGCCGAGTGTTTTATATCTGATAAAACACGACAACGAGTGTTTTGAATAGCTTAACACCTTTGAGTGTTAATTTTGCCTAAAATTTTTTTATTGGTTTCCATAAAAGCATTAGACTAGTTCTACTATCTGACCAAGTTTGAACGAAAAATGTTGAAAACTCGCAGAGTTATTTAATGAAGTACATTTCACTGCATTAAGAAAATCATTGAAAATGTAATATTCAAATTCAATTTTCTCCCGAAAAATTTTACGGTAATTACTGATTTTCAAACGAGTTGTACTCCTGCGGGTTTTAACGAATTTCTCTCAAATTTTCACAGGACATAGCTAAAGACGTCAGTTTCAAAATTGTGTTCGGCTTTTTTTTAATTTTGGATATTTTAAAAATAAAGAGCAATTGACTCAAACAATTCAGAAATATATTGCAGTCGTCAAAGAAATCGCCATATCAGCGGAATGACGAAATAAACAAAAATTTCCGAACACCATTTTTTAGAACAACTATTTTACTGTATAAAAATGATATTTTCATAAATATAACTTAAAACCAGCAGGAGCACAACTCAAAAGCGTAACGGTACCGCTATTTAAGATTTTCCTGAATAATTCTTACATTATTTTATTGTTTGTTAATTTTACAACTTTACCATATTTTGCATGCACTGGAGAACATTTGGTGAAAATTTGATGAAAATCGGACTGATATTGAGCGCGCAGTAGCGATTTTCCGCAAAACGCCAAAAAGGGTGTCCTGTAACCTTAAAATACGACTAATTAAGATGAACAATAATATAATCATGCTAATTAAGGGCATTAAGATGAACAATTATATAATGCCACATGTGTTTTATCAGATATAAAGTCACTCCACGTGACATATTATGGCTGACATGATTTGCCACAAGGTTTATGAATTATATATTAATGAGTATTTTAAAGAAATAAAATAGATTTACCTTAACTGGTGATTGTATCTCCTGTCTGTCCACAGTTAATAGACTGTGGTCTGTCTGTTTCGTTGAGTGTCGCACAATCACAATCGTTTTTAATACCTCACATCTTGAGCAGATAACGTACATCCTAATGGATGACGCACTTCCTTTGCGCATGTTGATTATAAATAATTCTTATAATACAACTCGGTTTTTTAATATATTCACTATTGTTGAAAATGTCTTAACTGACGTTTTCAACAACTAATGCTAGCAGTTACAACACTGTTGCTTCCCACATTTGCAATTTACACTATAGTCAAATTTTATCAAATAAAGTCGCATCTGGCTAGTTTATACCCAATAGGCTCTGCTGGTAGGCTTCGAGCCAGGTCATCACCCCCGATACTGACGATACTCCCTGTAGCGGTTGTGAAAGGTAGCGGACGAAAATCCTGATTAAGAAATATGGTGGGCCGTGGGCTGGCATGCCCAATTCATATAAGACGGTTATTGAAGTTGATTTATACTGCGATACCTGTATATAAACAACAATGAAAACAGGAACTGCAGTGTGTGATGAGTGATGTTTCATTGAAATCAAACTTGGTATTACTCCTGCGTTGCATGAGACGAATAAACAACCAAACATCTTTTTAAAATGCTTTTAAATTATTTTATCACTTTTCCTTATGTAGCAACAAAAGTATTAAAGTTTAAACTAGAAAATTCAAGAATTTCTAAAAGTAATATTGCGTATCTTCTCAAGTAATATTGCGTAAAATTGTATGATATTAATTGGCATCTAAACTGATGACGCGTTCTACTAATTGAGATATTTTCTGTTACAAATGACCCCTTGCTCGAAAGAGAAAAGAACAACTCTTAAAATAAAACTAAAATCATTTTATAAATGGAATAGTTGCTCCACCTGTGCTCCACGTCTTTCTTTCTATGTTGTCATATGTCGTGTTAGATTAGCAACATGACTGTACATGAGCTCCACCTTTGAATTTACTATGTGAGTAAATTACTATATGAGTAGAATTTATCATAATGATAAATTCGGACGTGTTTAAGAATTTACTCATATAGTAAATTCAAAGGTGGAGCTCATGCTGTAGATTAGATATAGTGGAAGTGTGGAATGACATAGAGATTTCAAAGCAACAGTCAAGTCAGCTTCGGATCTTACAAATGTAGGCATAACTAGTTTTACGCATACCGGCTGTCCCTTTCTGGGGGGGGGGGGCAGTTGTTCCCCTAGCCCCTGTCTCGTACGCCTATGGTTTCACATCGCGCCTAAGTGACATTCCTTTTCGTATTGGACGCGACAGTAAGCAAGGCCGTCAGAAGTAACGCGGTGCTTTCTTTTGTGTGTTTTGCTTATACAAATGGAAATTATCTGACAAATGATATCATTACCTAAGCATAAAAGTTGATAAAACCCATGCACGTAAGGTTGACTTTTGCTCGTCACTCTACACTATTTAAACTAAGGTATCGATTTTGTTCTGGGATTCCTCAATTTCGTTGTCGCGACTATCAGTATTCCTGACTAATATTAACTCAACATCTATTATTCTCAGGGACGTATCGAAGATTTTGTCATATGGGTGGTGAGGGGGTGGACACAAGAAATTTCCAATTAATGGGTTTGGTTTGAATGGTTTTAAAGAGTTACCATGTATACTATCAAGGTAAAATTCGTAAAAATTGAACTCTTACCACTGTTGGTCATTATAGATTCACATATCGTAAACTGGTAAAAACCATGTTTTAATATTTACTATTAAATGGTATTTTCCTGGTAAATATTAAACATCATGGTTTTTACTAATTTACCATATGAGAAATCTATAACCAATAATATGGTAAGAATTTTTTTGTGGGGGTGAGGTTTTACATTACTTAACCAGGTTTTACATTACTGAAAGCAGTTTTTGAAACTTTGTGTGGTTGGTTAATCCGTTAATGCATGAGAATTCTTTGGAATTCTTTCGAGTTACCACAATGGATATGGGCCTATATCTAATTGTTAAGGAAATACAAGAGAAAGGCGCGATGTGGGCGCATGCAGCGACCGCGAAACGTGAATACGCAATAATTGGCATTAATTGCGTGTAAGCATGATGTAGATATAGCACGTTTCAGCAGTAAAATGGGATGAAAATATGACACACCTTAGACGTGACTAAGGGAAGGAACATTATGTAGTTAAACATGACGTATGAACAGAAAAATGGTTTCCTAGTTTTAGAGCATAAATACGAGTGTAAAAATATTATATTGTTATTGATTGGAAACGGTGAGTGTTAGAGTGTATTAGTATGAAATGTATGTAGAATCGGGTTAGTTTGATTGATTGTGAAGGATTGTTTGAATAAAGGAAAATAGAAAAAAGGAAATCCAGTCCCAGTGGTTTGTTGACTGAATCAACAAGCGGAAATTTCTTATAGTTTAACCTAACTTGTGCGAAGAAATTACAACACTAATAGGGGGGTTTGGGGGAATGCTCCCCGGAGAAAATTTTGAATATTCAGTGTTCTTATAATTACCTGAAAATCAGCTAAAATCACCTAGAAATTTACCTGAATTGAAATTACTTGTGAACAATGTGTTACACCCCCTGCAGTCCCCCTCCCCCCGTTGCTACGTCCTCAATTATACTGAAACAACTCGACCCCAAAATTGGGTTCTGTGGCATGACCACTGATCTGAATGACCATATATAGAGGTTATAAAAGTATTATTTTACAATCCCTATGGGGGGGGGGGGGGTACAAATCCGCCAATCCGCCCAAATTTGAAGCAAAATCCGCGATCCGACAATGGTCTTGTCTAAATTTGAATCCGCTAAAAGCTCTACTCAATGAAGTCACAATCCAGGATCCGAACTAAATTACAAGCTAAATCCACAATCCGAGCCAAAATATTAGATAAATCCTCAATCCGCTGTATTAATAAGATCCGCAAATCCGTGTAAAATATTCGCCAGATCCGAAAACCGAACAATTTTTTCTGTGAAATCCGACGATCCGAAAACCTATTCACCTCCCCCCCCCCCTGTACGAGATTGAGACCCTGCCATAGAAATATTAGACCTAGAATGCGTGCTTGGTCACGTGATCGATGTCCAAAATTGAAAATAAAAATGCCCTTATAAATCCGCCATTTTCTGGAGACAAAATTTTTACTGAGAAAAGATAGGAGCACGCATTCTATGTCTATTATTCTATGGACCCTGCCCTGCGAGATTGAGAAATATGGAATACCCAAAATACCACTCACCATGGAAACGTAAACTAGTACACTTCGCCCCAAGCCTCTTTGCCTCCTTTGACTCGCGGACATTCAAAATGGCGGTCGATTTACAACAATTATTTTAAAGTTTCTTTTCTATGGTACTCATCACAAGACATTATGAAGGTATGAGCGTTGAAATAAACTTGTCTGAATACATATTTTAAGAAATAATCTTGAAGTAGGGAAGGAGCCACATCTCAAAATATTAGATAACAAAATTTGA